TTGTGGAGGGGCCGGTGGTCCCCCCTCGGGGCCCCCTGCGCCAGCCGCCTCCTGGCACGCTAGTCCCGGTGGGAGCCCGTTTGCCGCAGCTACCATCGCCTCGTGCCCGCGGTCGGGGTGCCATGAGCTCGGCCCGAAGCACAGCACCGCCTGTGCCCCTGCCCTGCGTGCAGGTGGGCAGGAGGGGTTAATGCCTGCAGTGGGGAGGGAGGGTTTTCATACAGAAGGGAATTGTTTTAATGATTAATGGATAAACCTGGCTCTGGAGGAGGTGTGCAGCATGGCCCGGCCTCGGGAGTGGGTGGCCTCTATCCTGCCTGCTAGGAGTGCTGATGTACTGCATGTACCAGGGCTCTGCAGTAGGTAGCACCTTACCCTGTCCCACTGTGCTGATCATGCAGTCAGGACACATCTGCATAGACAGAAAGTGGTCTTTAACATCAGCTGTCCATGTTCGTGTGCAACTGGGGTTTCTGGGTTTATTCTGCTGTTCTTTAAATCTGTATAAAGCTTTGTATCGTGCTTGTTTACAAAGAGGAAAAAACTGTCATCTCTCACTTAAAGCCAAGCTTCTATGAGCTGCCTCCTTTAAAGGAGGGTGGGCATGATGGCCAGATAAATGTGACCTGTTTCCTCCCAGTTGCTTTCATAAACTGGCTGGCTTCTGGATGGCTGGTTTCACTTAGTGCTTCTCCAGGCCATCTCACATTTCCACTAGCGGGCAGGAGGAGCAGCACTTCTAGAGATTGCTTCCTGAGCCTGTAGCTGGTGACTCAGAAGTGCTCGTATGATTGAGTTACGCCTTTGGCAGCTGAAGTTAAAGTGATATATAAATTATTAAGCTGCAGGAGTCCAGAAGTCAAATCTGAAGTTTTTCTCCTTGCCCTGACTCCTGTTTGAGGTGAAGGAGATCCTGCAGACTTGCAGCTTTGGATCTAGATGACTGTTAGAAGTAGTCTGTGCTGTCAGTGCAATCAGCTGAGCATTCAGTCTCTTTTTGCTAGTTCCCTATTTCTAAGCCAAAAATATGTATTAGCAGGTTAGTACTCAGCTTGTGATTGACAGAGTTAATCTAAGTTCAAGGGCAGCTTGATATGTGCTGGAAATCACATTTGCAGGCAAGGTGGCTGACTAAAGCTGACCTGCGTGTCTGTTGTAGAGACTTCTTGCACTGCTTTTTTTGGTCAGTAGCCTCCATTTTAAGGCATTACATGGTGCTGGGCATCTGTACCTGCACTAAAGGTTTTTGCTGTCTTTCTGCTCCTAGCTGGCTGGCAAACACTGAGGTCTGCTCTGCACACACTGGCTGAGAGCAGGACCCGTTGTTATGCTGGAGTGGGGGACATGCAAAAGAAGTGCCTGCCTGTGCTGACTGAGGCTTGTCCTTAGGTGTTAAAGTGCTGTGCAGAGATTATCATCTCGAGGAGAATGGCAGTAGTGGAGCCATGCAGCTTCTCCTGCCTGTGTGAAGTGCAGGCTTCTCCTGCACTTTGTGCAGTGCAGCTCGCTAGTATCTACGATGATTTGTTTTCTGTATGAAAACTAGTCTCTTCACCCACTTGATTCCATCATTTTGTGGTAAACCAGGGAGACCAAATAGCTTGTCTGCCAACTTGGGCTTCCCCTCTCCAGAAATATTAATCTCTTGGGGAGATGTGCTGGCAGTTGCTCAAGTTTGGTGTCTCTGGCAATGTCAAGCCTTTGGACCCTGCTCCTCTCCTCTGTCCCACCCCATCAATTTGAGCTGATAGTGGAGGTAGCTCACAGGGCAGCCCCTGGCAGAAGTCGATGGAGGCAGCAGCCGGTGCTGCATGGCCAGTGATAACCAGTTGTTGTTGAGGCCTCCACTCTTCCTTTGTCCTGTGCAGTAGCAACCTGTGATGTGTGTGCACAGCACCTATGCACAAGAGGGATGAGTTTCTCTTGTTGGATAGTGTTTCTGTGCAGTTTGGTGGGAGATTCCTGGAATAAGGAGAAAGGGATAGATGTAGGAAGCAGCACCAGGGGCAGAGGCATGAGAGGCTGTGCTGCAATCTACCTGTAGGGCTTGATGGTGGGACAGAGTCAGACTTGAGATGTGTTGGAGGGGTTGCAGGGAGCAGCAGGGGTTGCTGAGTCCTAGAATCTTGAATTTTATTGGCAATCTCTTCTAATCCCAGGGATACAGGAATGCATAATAGGTTAGTGCATCTGTGGGGGGATATGGTGAGACTGAAGGGAAGACTTTCCCTTCCCTGGTCTTGCAGCTGGAGAGTAGGTCATGTGGAGTGTTAGCTACTGCTCTTATAGCAAACTAAGTATCTAAGATGTAAAGTTTGAAGAACTTGCCATATATAGAGTTACATATGGATAGGGGAAAAAATGTATCCATAGGAACAAAGTGTAGCACTATTTACAGTTACAGCAAGTTGCAGTAATTTCATCCATAAGCACTTCAGGTGCTGACTGAGGACCCTTAGTGCATTAAACCTGTGTGTGGCTGTCTGCACTGTACAGGCTCCTGGCCCAGACATCCTCGTTCAAGAGAAGAGCTTACTAGGCTCCAGCTCCGTGTTATCTGGCCCATTACAGAAGCTGGCACTGGTTAACTCCTGCACAGCAAATTTACTGCTCTTCAGGTGTGGCAGAAACCTTGTAGTTTTCAGCAGAACATTATTAATAGAGAACTCATGCTTCAGTGTGAGGTTCAAGAGGTTCTCTTGTCTGTGTGTGACCTGAAATGGAGTTTGTCAGCAGCTCTCCTGGAGCTTACTGCTTAACTTTCTCCTCACAGCAGTGTATTGGAGTGGTTTGTACTTTCTGTGGAAAAGAAACTGTCAGGAAGTAGCTACTGAGCATTTTCTGTTGCCTGAGATACTTAATTGCATTCTGCTAGTGTGCAACTGTTTATTGGTTTTAGTCTTCATCTCTGCTGAAACCTCCATTTTGACTGAAAAACATGACTAATGAGGTGTAAGGAGCTCTAAATCAGAATGGTGTCCAGATACAACTCATATGACTAACAGCATGATGAGCTAATGTGGAGCTCTGAATGTAGTGATGGATAGGGAGACACAAAATACTTGTCTATGCTACATGGCCTGTATAGCATAGCTTTGTCTACTGAAGTTACATTCAAATTCAGTGGGCAGAATAAGTAAAATCTCTTTCATAAGAGGATGCTGCTTCAGAAAACATACCACAGTAAGCCATACAAAACATGGCTTTTATACTGCTATGGCATCAATCTGGGATAGAGAACAAAGTTGCTTTCAAATTCTGCAGAGAAAAGCTTGTTCTTAACTGGATTTTTTTTAAGATAATGTGAAAACTGAATGTTAAATATAATGATCTGGTGCAGAGCAGCATCATGAGGGATCAAAGGCTTGATGAACTTCTGATTGATCTCATGTTGCTACAGTTCAGTGAGGCAGAGTACTTGAACACTGTAGACTTCCTGACTGATAGCTAAAAAGAGACTCTGACTGCCAGTAATGATGAAGGCAACTTGCAATGAAGTGGTTTAGTGAGACTTATATTGTCACATAAGTGGGGTGTTTAAGAACTACAAGAATGGCTAGTGTGGGAAGGCTGAGAGTAAGCTAGCCATGGGATTAATCTAAATCCTTTTGGAAATGAAAAAAAAAATCCTTAATGTGTTCAATTCTTTTTTTTATCTGCAGTCAGAATTTGAGGCAGAACTACAGTCTGCTGGTGGGAAGCTTGTGGTTGTTGATTTCTCTGCCACATGGTGTGGACCTTGCAAAATGATCAAGCCCTTCTTCCATGTAAGTAGTCTTTACAGATCTGTTTTTTTCTTGACAAGTGGGTTAAAGTATGTTTAAATATTTGTGCTGCTTGACAACAATGTGGATACTTACTTTTGCCATATAGGATTGTGACTAAATTATCTGAAAGAAATACTGAAAGTTATACTTTCTGACTGAGTATAATAGGCTCAGTCAAAAGGGCAGAGTTTGAATTCAGATGAGAGTTTCATTTCTTCTCTTATGCTTATGGTGCATTACAGGCCTTTAGAGGCTGAGTGGACAGTTGTACTGCATGAAGAACAGGGGACACAGTGTTAGAACAGTGTTTATCATTGTGCATGAAGTGGCTGTCATCCAGTAACAATGCTATCTCCTAGAAAATTATGGGAGTTGTGCTGTAGTGTCTGTCTTCCACTGAAGATACACAAGTGAAAGGTGTCTAGTTTCAGTGTATTTGAGTTTTTTCTGTCAGTGGGAACACTTAATGTGTGACAACCTCTGCTTTGCCTAAGGTAACAAGCCCCCTTACCATGGGAATGAGCAAGCCTTATGCTTTCTATATATGCCTTTAAGAAAAGGTTTTGCTGTAGCACTGCAACTACAATTTGCATTTTTTCTTTATTCTAGAGTTTGTGTGAGAAGTTTGCTGATGTTATATTCATCGAAATTGATGTGGATGATGCTCAGGTATGGTCCTGTGGTGGTTGTTACAGAGGGTACTCTTTCATTGTCACTGGGGATCTTAAAAGTTCTTTCAAATTTACCCTTGCAGAGCCTAAAACATAATGAGAGACTGTCCCTTAAGAGATATAGGCTTATCTTTAATGGAAAAATAATGAATATTTAGTGGACACCCAGACAGTCTGTGGAAGAAGCTGTCCTGTGTTATCTGCGCACTGATCCCCGTGGCATGTGTTAGGTAACTTGGGGACGCTGCTGCTTTGAACTCTAGGAGGAAGTGCTGGTCTCTGAGGCCTTAAGTTGTCTTGATGCAATCTTCCCTGGAACTACTGGATTAGGAAATAGTCTAATGATTTCAGACTGGTCTCTACTGCACTTGGCCTTGTTTCTCCCTTTGATGTCTTGATTTAAGTGGAGTAAGATGGCTGCTATATAGCAATTTCAGCAGCTGGTAGGTAGCTGAGCAACTTTGAGTTGAAAGACAAGAGTTGCTATAGGACTTGAGCCTTATAAATAGGGAAGTCTTGATGCAGAGGTCTGTGCTGTTCCAGTCACAGCTTACTTTTTTGTAGGCTGTATTTTGGTTATTGTAAGAATTAGATGCTGAAAGAGTAGTCCTGCAGACTTCTTTCAGAAAGATGCAGTAAGAATTTCACTGAACAAAGATGATCTTCTGTCTTTGTCTAACAGCAATAATGGCTTTGCTATGCTATCCCTTAACTGAAAGGGAACTAGAGGGATATAAATTTAACACCCATTAAAACTTCTCAACTGAGTATTGTCTGCTGTGTCTTCCAGGATGTTGCTGCACACTGTGATGTCAAGTGCATGCCCACATTCCAGTTCTACAAGAATGGGAAGAAGGTAGGCTCTGCTTTTCTTGGTGGGGGAGGAGGAGAGGAAAATAATTCCTCTGGAGCAAGGTTGTGGTTGAACACTTGGGGACTGGGAGGTTTAGGCCACTTGACCTGCATTGTCTTGGCAGTATGTCTGGGCATTAGGGCACTGCTAAAAGCAGTTGTGTTCATTTTAATACTGTAGGAAATACAGCATGGATCAGCTTGAATTGGCTGTCAAGACAAACTGCTTTAGGCAGAGCTAGTGACATGAATTGGTGTCACAGCTCTGCCTTATGGGCAGAGCCTCACCATGTATCACTAGGGAAGCCACTTGGGTCAAGCCTGCTGTTGTCTGCCTGGCAGTCTGCTGTTAGTACTTCAGGGCTCCTGGAGCATTTCCTGTTCAAACACAGATTTAACGTCTGGAATCCTACCCAAATGAGTAGACACTGCAGTCTGGAATGCAGGTCTTGTCTGTCTCAAGTTCTGAACACCTCCTGTGCCTGCCCCATGCAGAGGTGCACTTACCCTGGTGTTGGCTGCTTGTACGCCGCACTGAGTGTCTACCTAGAGTCAAGGCTCACTGCTGAAATAAATGTCAAAGGCTTTTTAATTTGCCAACTGAACTCTGTAAACCTTTACATAGGCTTTTCTGAAGTAAAATTAAGACTTGCCTGGATGTGAGTATTGTTGCTCAAGGCAGTTGCCTTAGAAGTGGATCTCAAATGTTGTATGAGCTGTAGCTCAAACCAGTACAGGGCCAAAAATGAGTGGTAAATTAACTATGATAATATTCTTGGGAAAAGTCTGCTTCCAGCAAAGATAATGCAATTGGAATTGAGGTGTGATAATATATGAAGCTGCTTCAACTTCCCATGTAGCACCTAGTTTTGAGCAATCTCTGGATACATGTATATCAAGCAATGGATTTCAGTCTGTAGTGTAGTTGTCCCTGCTCTTGTAGGTAGAAGACAAGCACAGAGTGTTTTTGGAGTCATAGCTGTTGCCTTTGTCTTGCTGTGTAAACACTTTGTAAAAATCAAACTCTCTTTTCAGGTGCAGGAGTTCTCTGGGGCCAATAAAGAGAAGCTGGAAGAGACCATTAAACATCTAGTCTAATCTCCAAACTATGGAGACTTGGGATCATGACTGCTTCAGCTAAATTATAACTTGTAACTTTTCTACTGAAAATCTAACCAAGCTATCTAGAATGAGTCATGGAAACTGTCCTCATGATCTATGTAAATGAGTACAATAAAGTGTAAATTCTTCACTTTTGGATACTGCCTAGTGTTTAAATGAACTTGTGAGCAAGTCCTTAGTGTTACTGAAGTTTCTATTATTACTAATACACATAGTTGTTACTTGGTTAAGTAGGGCTGTCTGGATACACAATGGTTCTTGTGTCAAATGCAGTCTGATCCATAACTGAGATATTGTTAGGAATGGAAGACTGTCACACAGGACTGCAGTAACTGTTTTAGGAGAAGTCTTCTGTCACTCTACTCAGGGGCATCAATCTATAGTCTGAAGGGCAACAATGCAGAAAAAAGGTGAGCTTAGAGTTGTAGAAAAGGCTGTGATAGCCATAAAAGTTTTATTACTACTTTTAGTCTGCTGTTAAGCTTGGCTTGAGACTAAGACTCACATTAACACTTGAAAGCATAAAGGAGGACTTGGAGCTTCTGCTTTTCCAATTCTGCCTTGTTGTTTTTGTACATTCTGGCTCTTAGTAACAAGATCTGCCTAGTGTTGAAGATGGGCTGCTTTGTTCCTTGGGCCATAAACTACAAGGTGAAATTGAAAAGGTGAAACTGCTGGTGTGTTAAACCCAAGACTTCTTTAATAAGACTTAATAAAGATTTATTAATCAACTGGAAGGACAACACAGCCAGGCACAAACAGTCCTGGAGGCTCCTGCAGAGTGTTGATAACTTTTTGATGCAGGCTGTGGAGGAGCCAATGAGGAGAGGTGGGCTACTGGACCTCATACTAACAGATAGAGAGGGACTTGTTGGAGATGTGAAGGTGGGGTGTAGCCTCAGCTGCAGTGACCATGAGTTGGTGGAATTCAGGATCCAACAAGGAGGAGGCAGGGCTGTAAGTAGCCTTGCAACCATGGACTTCAGGAGGGCCAACTTTAGCCTCTTCAGAGACCTCTTTGGAAGATCCAGAGCTAGAGCTCTAGAAGGAAGGGGGGCCCAAGAGAGCTGGTTAGTTTTCAAGCAGCGCTTCCTCCACGCCCAGCAACAGTGCATCCCTGTGTGTAAGAAGTCAGGCAAAGGGGGCAGGAGACCCGTGTGGATGAGCAGGGAGCTTGTGGCAATGCTCAAGCAGAAGGTGGTATGCACAACGTGGAAAAAAGGACAGGGGCTATGGGAGAAATGCAGGAATGTTGTCAGGGAATGCAGAGATGCGACAAGGAAAGCGAAGGCACGTTTGGAACGCAATCTGGCAAGGGATGTTAAAAATAACAAGAAAAACTTCTTCAAATATATTAACAGCAAAAGGAAGATCAGGGAAAATGTGGGTCTGCTGGTGAACGGGATGGG